TGGGGACTAAGCTCAAACACCCTCTCAGAAAATTCTGGGAAGCAATCCCACTGGTTGTATTGTGGTCTCTCTGGAAGCTAAGGAATGAGTGTGTTTTCAGAGATGCTCATCCTAACTCTGCAGAACTATGGGAACTTATCAAGATCAGATTGGCCCTTTGGCTTAAAGCCTCTGTCAAGAACTTTCCCTTCTCAGTCGAGGATGTGGCTCTCAATTGGAGACTAACCAGGCTATGCTACAGTTGATATCTGCTATGCAATTCAGTTTAAAAGAAAGCCTCAGCATACTCTGTCTCCTGTTTTCTGTTGGGGTTCTTCTGCCGGCTGGATTTCTGCCTGGAGTTCTTTCACTGTGTTGTTCTTATTCTGAGTTCACAGAATGATTATAGGGCTGCAGTAGTGATCTGTGCTGAATTCATGGAGTATTGTTCAAAGGCAATGCAGGTTAATGCAGATTCTGGCAAAATGACTGATCTGTGCTGCTTTCTTTTCTGGTCTGTGTTGGCTGGTGTGGGGGTTGGTCTTGTTTCTAACCTGTGTCAGTGTGGATTGGAGCCCCAAGCTCAGATGTTTGCCTTAGGTGTTAGGGGTTGCTTTGGACTGAATTTCCCCTTAGCTGGAGTTTTGTTCCTCCATTTTTTGATTGTAGAAATGAAACAAGAAAAATCAGTGCTGGTCTGTCGAAGTACATCACTGCCTGTTGTTCTACTTTGGTTAGGGACTGCTTCTACTGTAAGTTTGATCTGCTGGGGTGGATTGGATGAATTGGTTATAGTCTGCTGGGGCGAATGTGGTTCTGTTCCTTACGATTAAGATGCTGAATGGTTCTGAATGGCTGTGTTATTCTGCAGTGTTATAGATGCTGTCCAGGTATATCAATTCAGTGGATTGGTGATGGCTTGGGTGAATTGGTGATGTCAGTGGTTTGTTCCTTAAGCCTCATTTGTTAGTAGTGTGAATTGGTGATGGCTTGGGTGAAGTTTAGTTTTTCTGTTATGCTCCTCTTCTGCTTCTTTTTGTTTTGGTTTGTTGTTGGTTTCTCACCAACTGGCGCTTGGAGCTTTAGTTAGCTCCAAGCTCCTCTTTATTGATGTCCTGTATACTTTTTGCATACCTTCATCAATAAAGATTTTCTTTGCCGATCAAAAAAAAAAAAAATTAGACAATTCAAGTGTCTAAATTGGGTTCAAGCGTCGGACATATCCTACACTCTTACCTTTGTCATATCCGATAGATAACGTATTGTGGGAAAAATAGAAGAGTGCATGTAACACAAGTATTCTTCCTTCCTTTCACATTATTTTATTTTCTTTACAACCTGTTTACTATTTTCAACTCATCTTCTACTAAGAGCATCTCTAATGGTGTTTGCTAAAATAGCATTGTCATTGCTACAATTTGGCAATGAATAGTGTTATTTTGCCAAATTATACCAATTGTGCTCCAATGGTCGCATGCTATTTTGGCAAATCTTAACCAACTTTCCCTCAAAGTTTGTAAATGTTTGATATAGGTTTTTCAGTGAATTTTTTTATTTTTTTGTCTTTTGTAACTTTTTTTAATTGTTTCTAAAAAAATTATACATATATATTATTTCGACTAGACAAATATATAAAAAATAAATAAATAAATTGAAAATAGCTATTGTTTGTATTGATTTTAAACATTCTTTTCAAGCAAAAAGAGCACGACGACTCTTTTGCCTTTCCAAGACAGATCACCACTGTCCATCTCAACCATTTCCAATGGTTGAGATGAATGATCTAGAACCATCTTGACTCTCCACTCTGTCTTCACTCTCTCTCTCTCTCTCTCTCTCTCTCTCTCTCTCACACACACACACACACACCATTTCCTCTCGCTCTCCCTCTCAGTCTCCATCTATCTCTCTTCTCTCTCTCTCTTCAATCAGCGACGGTGTCTACTCCCAATCGCCGAAGACCAACCTTTCCTTCCTCTCCCTCTCACTCTCACTCTCGCTCTCTTCTCTCTCTTCGATCAATGACGATGTCTACCTCCAATTGCCAAAGACCAACCTTTCCTCCCTCTCCCTCTCATTCTCACTATATCCCTCTCTCTCCCTCTCACTCTGTCTCCCTCTCTCTTTCGCTTCTCTTTCTGCTCTCCGACACCGCCAATCGCCACCGTTTACCGCCACCCCTCTCTCTCTCTCACTCCTAGAATGGATCGGTGACGTTGGACAAGATCAAAGAGACGATCACCGATTCTAAACCAAGGACCACCAGATTTGCTCCCACCACCAGCAATATCGTCACCGCTTCCTTTGACGCCGTGACTCACCACCAGATCTACTTTGAACTACCAAAACCAAGTATTTATTATTTTCAATTTTGTTCATATTCTAAGATTCTGAGATTCGAAGTTATAAAATTGTTTGTTGAGCTCCAATGAAATTGTTGAAATATTTTTGTTGAATTTGAGATTTGTTAAATTTGTTTGAGATTTTGTTGAGATTTATTGGCTATTGTTGATTGATTTTGTATATAAAAAAAAAAAAAAAAAAAAACTTTGCTGATTTCAGGTAAATTTAAAAAAAAAAAATTGAATTTTTTTTTGGTGAATTCTGATTAAAAAAAAATGGTGAAACAGTTGCAAGGTGAGAGGGAGGAAGGGAAACAGTTGGTTTTGGCTGAGTTGACACAAATGGCAACTTTGACACAAGTTTTGGCATTTCTCAAATTTGGCATCTGCTATATTCAATCATTGGAGCATCATTTTTTAACACAGCTGCTATATTATAGCAATAGCAGCTCCAATGAGAAACTATTGGACATGTTCTAAGTTTGCTAACTGTTGAGCGTTTTTAACTCACTATAAAAAAAAAAAATACCATACAAGTAAAAACAATAAAACCTATAGTTCTCCGCTTACCTTGCAAATTCTACAACCAAAATCAAACTATTAGGTCAATATGAAATCAAAGAATAAAAGTGGTGGCAGTGGTGTTGCAGGTGAGGTAAGCAAATATGAGTGAAAAAAAAAAAAAAAAAAACAGATCCATCTCCAATTTCCAAACTATAACCCTGAATATCTAACCAGAGGGTGATAATAATAACAATAGCAGTCATAGTAATTATAACAGAAAGTGGTGATAATGCTGCAAGAAACAAAGCTTCTTTTCTTTTCTTTTTTTCTTTTTTTTTTTGGGAAAAAATTTATTCAGTATATATGCATATTATATGTATATATATGCACACATTATGTAGAATTAAAATAATACATTGTATTCTTCCAAATCTAATACTATATTCTTTTTATTGTAATGAAAAATGAATGCAGAATGAACCAAGTAACTTGAGAAATAAAGTGGTTACAGAATGAATCTGTTATGTCTGTTTTGTTTGCTTTCCAGACATATTTTGCTTAGTATCAAGCTTCTTCCCATATCTTCTGGTTGTTTGGGCTAAAAATACCACAATTTTGAAAGAAAGAAGACATAAATTACAGAAAAATGAAGATTTCCCTGTCTTCAAATGTTCGATGAGCACCATTAACTTATCTATAGTTACCTTCAAATAGGCTTCACTCGTCCAAGAACTCAGCTATTTTACAACATCAGATCACCAAACACATTGTCTAAAAGCAACAACCGTAAAAGATGTATGCACAAAGGCAAAAATCCTCAAACATGTTTACATGCAATTCAATTTATCAACACAAGCTTTTGTATTGATATATAAAGCCACCACTTCAATGATGCATTCACATTTTTAACTTTTTTTGTATTTTTATCGGCAAAGAAACAAATATTTGTTGAAATAGGGAAAAAAAAAAGTACAATGAAACTTCCATGAATAATGGAAGTGAAAAGAAAACCAAAACCGAACTCTAAAATTTCAACTTTCAGTCCAAAAGATCCTAATGAAACTACCAGATAATGCTATTTGAAAGCAACTTCATTGATGAAAAGCTTCTAAAAGCACACCAGAACGATTTTTTAGGGAATAGAATTTCTGCCCACCGATGCTTTCTAGTGCTTTGTTTTAAGTAGACACACACAGCTTAAGACTATCTAGAATCACTTCAAGGATGGTTTTGGCATGCTTCTTGTGGAAGCCATGAAAGCCTTTTGATTTTAAGCCTAGGGTTTTGGCCATTAGCATCCATTTTGTACATTAGTGGGGTGGTCTATGTAATTAGCTGCTGGAAGCCTGGAACTACCAATTAATATCAGTTGATTTGTTGTGATACACTTTGAGGGCATGTTTGTTTGGCTGACTCATTGAGGGGATTGTATTGCTAGTGAGATCACTTCACTTATGGCTTGTTTGGTAAGCCTTATACTCTACTGGACTATTAGTCGAATGGGATTGTCAATGATGTACGGAGGTGGACTTAGCTTTCTCTAGGAAATCATGGGATTGGAAAAATAGCAAAGGGATTGGAAAAATAAATGTATTTTTTTCTAAGTTTTTTATTTATCCAAATGCAACCTATTATTTGTATTTTTTTTTTTTTATATTTGTTTTAATTTTTTTTTTAATATAGAAATATATTTTTTTATTTTATATAAAAATAATTTAACAATCCCATTACTAACCAACTCTCCCACCATCATCAAAACAAACACATATTTACTTAATCTCTCCACTAACAATCCCCACATTAGCAATTTCTTCACTAACCATCCTCTTACTAACAAATTCATCCAATCTAATCCACCAAACAAATATGGCATGAGATCTTTTCGAAAAATCAATAAAATCACAAAAGAACAAAAAAAATATAATAATAATAAAAATACAAAATTATAATACAAAATTAATTTGAACAATGAAGGGGACAAATTTGCAGCATATCATGCTTGCCCATTGGTCTGTCATATTACTCTCAAACTTTAGTATCAAATACAAAAATAACTAGAATTGTCATATGGCAAGTTGACTTCCCAAGCAACATCAAAACCTTTTTCTGGGTCCATAATACAACTCACCATTATGCTGTCACAAAGAAGACAAGCATTTTTTAAACACGTGTACATTCAAAAATGAATATAATTTAACTGATTCATATAATAATGTAGTGTAAATTTACATCCTAAAACTCTTCCCTATCCCTCTAATTTAAGGGAGCAAAAAATGTATCTAAGATAGCAAAGCTGAGGTGTAGTAAAAGAATAATCAACTAGGGAAATGAGAAACTATTGCAATTACATCCTCAAAATCAAATGGTGTTGGAGAAAACCAAAGAATAACTAATCCAGCAGTAAAAGGATTTCAGTGGTGGCAATTATAGCATTGTTCTTATGCAATGGCTGAGACAATAGTCTGCACCTTTGTGGGACGCCAGAATGTCTTTTGAATGCACAGCAAACCCTCATTGTCCTTTGAGTACGTCAATCGAATCTTCCACTGTAGAGATCGAGCCAAGTTCTCCACCTCAACTATGGTTTCAAGTTTATCCCGCATGATCAAATATCCTTCTGGCCTTAGGATTCTATCTACTTCTGCAATAATTGTGACTAATTTGCACCTGTGGCCAGAAAACCATTATTAAGTCAACAGCAATGACTGGGAGTGACTTTGCAAAGGAGTAAAACTACAAGGAGAATGTTATTCAAGACAATAACCTTTTCTTGAGATCGGAGAAGAGATGATCAGCATGAAGAAGATCATAAGATCTGGGGTAAGTACTAAATGATTCACACCAATCATGATACATCCCAAATAAGCCACGCTCATATATTATTGGAAGTGTGTCTGGTGAATTGATTGGAACTACATTCATAACCCATACATTTAGGTCTTTCAGTGCTGCAGCAAACCTAAAATCATATAGAAAGCATAATCAGGAAAAAGTCCATAATGAGATAATAAAATCTCTTATTACAGTAAAGAAAGAAAAATGACAATGAAAGCAATAATAGTAAAAACCAATAACCATAAGGTCAAACAAAAGAAATCATATGCTCTCCACTTAACAATGTCATGGTTTTGTCCTACTACATATTCAATGTGCCACAACAGATAGCAGTTTCATCATTTCACTAAACAAAAACCAATACTAATACTCTTTCACATAAAACCCAATGGTAGTATAGTATCATATAGAAAATGAAATATATTTCCCAAGGCCCTACCTCAAACAAATGCAAAGAAGCACAACTTATTATCTGAATTTAACTGGAGCCTGTCAAGGACATGAAATTTCGTAAACTTATACAAAAAACTTCAAATGCTTACCCTCCATATACAGCTCTCATGTCCATTACATTCCTCACTGCAGACCAGCTGATTCCCATACCTTTCAGATATGACATGGACACAACAGTTTTCCAGTGATCAAAGTCCTTGACGAAGTCCTCCGGAGCTGCTTTACCATAAACTCCAACCTCTGAATTTTTTAACCAGTAGGGTGCTTTCTCCACTCTTAGTGGCCATTGCTCTGGCCACCGCGACCCACGCTCTGATGCACCCACTGATACTTTGTGTATGCATGCCTGGAGCAATATGTTCCTGAATACATAACCAATATAAAATTTAGAACACGTGAATTTTGGGAATTTTCACTCAGTACAACAGTTAATGCAGGGACCAATGATTCTACCATTAAACAGGGTCACCAGTAGCCAAGTGCAGGCCTTTTGGAGCCATAACATTACTCAGATAGAAACATTAGTTTCTACCAATGTCGTATTCTTTTCTTTTCTTTTCTTTTCTTTTCTTTTCTTTCCTTTTCTTTTTTTAATCTTCTCAAGATCTGGTGATGAACATGCTTTAGTGTCTTCAGTTGTCCTATTTTCTTGTGAGAGAATTGGCAGATTTGAACATCCAAACATACCCACAAGAAAATTTCCCTTAACAAAACAGACTTTGTTACCAGAGAAATGTGTTTATTAATCTATAGCAATTATGAACACATTGAGAATAGTACCATACATCAAAGCCTAATGTAGTAACAGGATGGCCCCATCCAGCAGTTTATGCAGTGAAGTTCTTTCATATATGCAATAAAAAGAATGAAAAGAATTATTTGGCTTACCCATGAATGAGGTAGAGGCCATGCATATATAATAGATTCATGATACAATTTAAGAAATGATATAAATAAGGAAATGATATAAATAAGGAAACAATACTAGATCAATGATTGACACAATCACAGATTATACACATAACACTAAAAATAAAAAGATTTTATGTACTCTAATTTCTATGTTCATCACTCCCTCTCAAGGTGGTGTGAAAATATTCAACAATCTTGCCAATGGATGACTGGAAGAAGCCAAAAAAAACTCAACGGCTAGTCCAAATAAATGCTACCAAACAAATCTGGTAGTCCACTAAATAAAAATGGCCAAAAAAAATGCTTAATACATCAACACCACACCCTAGAAAGGGGGGTCAAAAAAAAAATTGGGACTGAACTGCCCTAGAAGAGCTGCCGAAGCATCTATGGCCAGGAAACACCCTGGTCGGCAGCCAACAAGACCCTAGTCGACATCAAAGGCCGGAGCTAATGCCGAGAGACACTTTATGGTCGTGCCGGACCGTTGTAGAAACTAACCAGAATCAATGTTGGAACAATTTAAGAGGTCATGTAGGACCGTTGTAGAGACTAATCGGAATCAATGTCGAGATAATTTAAAGGGATCACGCCGGACCGATGTAGAGACTAATTGGAATCAATGTCGAGATACTTTAAAGGGATCACGCCGGACCGATGTAGAGAACTGGATGTTGAACCAGCAAGTATGGCACACACATATATTAGAAAGTGGTAATGAACGATGATGGCAACAGATGACTGAGTGCACCAAGGGACAACTTATTAAAAAGTGCGCCAGTGGACGGCTTTCGTTGTGCGCCAGAGGGGGCGGCTTAGATGGTTCACATGGTATATCACCATGCTCACCATGATACAGGTATAATACTCCTCCCCCCTCTTTCAAACTCACATAAGTTTAAAGATAGAAACCTATTTGAAGTTGAAATACAGGGAAAGACAAAGTGGAACAGAAACACACACAAAAATAGATTGCGAGTAAAAAAAAAAATATGATAGAGATATTTAGGATAGGTATAAACTAATGGATAAAGGAAGAGATCACCATGAAGTGATACTAAAAGAAAATATGACAGTGGAATGGGTTAAGGTCCGACGGGCAGCCAAGGCAAAACTGACGCCCGCCAGTGAAGCAAAATTACTAGGTAATTAACCTAACTCTGATACCAAAAAGAGTGAAAATAATTATTTGGCTTACCCATGAATGAGGTAGAGGCCATGTATATATAATAGATTCATGATACAATTTAGGAAACGATATAAATAAGGAAACAATACTAAATCAGCGATTGACACAATCACAAATTATATGCATAATACTAAAAATAAAAAGATTCTATATACTCTAATTTCTATATTAAATACAAATACTCACCGATTTCAATGTTTCAACATCTGTAATTAAACAAATTTCTCATGTGTTTCTAAATGTTTGAACATTTGTAATTAAATAATTTTCTCATGTTGTAAACTAAAATAATTTGTACTAATCACAGCTCATAAAGTAATCCAAACCACCAATTCTATCATTAAAACCAACAAAACATGGAATACATAAAACACTACCATGCTGCATCCGGGTCATCAGATTCTTTACACATTGGAGGCTCATTTTTTGGTCTTTGCTCATAGCACTCATTGGAAATCGGCTTTCTGTATATAGCTGCACCAACTCGATTCAATGTATCCTTCTTAACCACCACCAGGTCCCAGCACATTGACTTTGTCAGTTTAGACATAGCTGCCATTAATTTCACAAATAATAATAACAATAATAATAAAATACTGTTAAAATCAATCTCACAACTCCATTTCTCACAAGAGAAAAATAACATAGGTTCACAAGAATTCTACCTTTCCAAATTCCAACATCTTCGGACCCCTTTCTGTAAACTGGAGTAGCAGACCACACAAAGTATCCTCCAGGGCGCAAAAGACGATTCAACTCTAAGAGAAGTTTACCCCCTGCAATGCCCATTAAAATAAATTTATAAACCCAAAATTATTCAATACCCAGGCTGTTTTTGGATTATGGATTTAGGTAAAGATTTGAAAAGGAAAAAGGAAAATGCAAGGGATGAAGAAAAATTTAGCTTATATTTCATTCATTCACATTTTCCGCACCTTTTCTTTTCCTTTCCTAAATCCCTACCTAAATCCATTATCAAAACACAGCCTAAAGCATATCTATTAAATGAAAAAAAAAAAAAAAAAAGGGCAAACCCCACCTTCAATGTGCCAAGGGACTCTACATCTAGCACAATGGACAATGTCAAAGACCTTACTGGGAAAAGGCAGTCTCTTGGTACCCATGACCGCTGATACAGCTGGGATCCCTCTTTCAAGTGCAAATTGCACTTGCGCTTCATGCTCGTCCTTGGGAGCAACTGACATTGTAAGTGCATCTCTATGAAAAAGATATCCTCCAAAGCTGGCCACCCCACACCCAACATCCAATATCACACGGCTTTGTTTACCCCAAGCAATCTGAGGAAGAGACTGCATTTTGGACAAAATACCCAATCCATGCAACAAGATTAGGATTCCCACAAGAATATTTGGGATATTAAAACTTCATAGCAATTAGGAAGTTAAGCTGAATAGAGGAACAAATAGGGTACAGAGAAAATTAAGCATAGTGTAGAACGTGGTAAGAGAAAGGTCAAAATGGTGAAGAAATGACTAATCAAAGTTGTAGAGTATTAAAGAAGACATGTAATCATAAAAACAATTCATTGCATGGACAACCAATATGAAGACGGGAACGGACATGTTGCAAAACAAGAAAAGATAAAATTAGAAGAGAGGACATCAGAGAAAATACAAGAGTAGCGTCCATATTTGAGATGTTCATGGGAAATACAAGGGGTGACAAATAACATTGAGAACTACAGAACTTGTTCAGGCAGCTCAGCGGAAGAAAAGAGGAAAAGATAAAAAGAACAATGGTCACAATAATAATAATAATTCAATACAAGTTACAGAAAATGTGATGAGATGTTACAAATTTTTTGTTTTCTTAATAACATTGACTTTGAAGGACCATATGTAAAAAGCCGATTTCATAGATCTTAAAGACTATTACATATGATCAGAAGGATAAATTCAAATAAATCCCGTCATGTTTCTTTTTTCTCATTTTCATGCATTGAGCTTGTTGTCCAATCAAGTTCAAAGAATAAAATGTATTTGTACAGAATATTTAGAATTATACACTCAGAGAACCAAGTTAATACGTGAAGAAATACAGGATATACAAAGTATTCATACAGAATACACAGACTTAGAGATTAGAGATTTATACAAATAAAAGTACATATATTCCATAGATGGATGCACCCCCATCTATCTCTACTCAGAGCTTCATCTTGTCAATCACAGATCAGAAAAGCAGAGGAAAACAGAAGGTTTGTGTTAGGATCACAATCATTGTGAACTATTAACCTTGGTCAAAATATTGTAAACATGTTAGTCCATATAGCGTGCACATACACGTATAACAGTAGGTCTTACAATTGTATAAGCATCTTAAGCAGTTGTGACAAGTTACACTGTAACTCATGCAACATTTTTATAACGCACCTCATATTATCCCTAAAAATTTGCACATACAACAGCTTGCAATTGTAGCACTGATTATAACAACGAAAAAATGAATGAGTTTACATTCTCTAATTGTCAAATGATGCACAAAAACATGTGTACGGACAGAAAAAGCTGTATGACAAAGTCAACAATTAGACATTATACCAACAAAATAAGGCAGCATGACAGAATTAGCAATGACAAGGACTAACTTCCTGGATGAAATCAATGTAATGAAGGGCGCCTTTCTTAAATTGAGTCCCACCACCAGGGAAAGTAAGGTAATCTCCAGTAACCTTAACCCAATTTTGATGCCCCTTAATTTCTGCAAGCTTTGTGTGTGGAACATTGTAGTACCATATCTGCAGAATGCACCAGAAGATCCCATTTAACCCAAACTAAAACTTCAATTGCAATAATTTTTCCGTATAATGAGCATAAATAATATCTACCTGTTCCCTGCTTTTAGGCCACTTAATTGGTCGTTTGTATCCTTCTGGTAGAGCAACAAGGCAAGTTGGAGCTTCATCTGGGCAATGCCTCTCTCGATGTTCATAGTGCATTGTACTTGGAAGTTTTCTGATAGCTTGTATATTGTCCAGGCAGGGAATATAGTCTGGCCCAGCAGTGATATTACAAATTTTCCACTTATGCTCATTTTGATCTTTTGACAAGACATTTTTTTGCAATTCCTTCTCATTCTCAGACTCTGCCACTTGAGTTGACCAAGGCCCATTTTGGATGTTAGTCTCATTCAAAATCTCAGACTGGTCTTTTGCCTGATCTTCCATCTTGTTTCCACCAGTGCTTACGTCTGAATCCTTATCTTGATTCTCTTCAATCTTCTCCTCAGGCTGAACATTGACTTTATCGTCATGCTTTGTTTCCTCTACATTTTTCTCATTATTTGGTTTCATACCCTCCTCCAAATTCAGTTGATTTTCACTTGGGCTTTCCTCTGATTCTGAATGCTCACTGGCATTCGTTTCACTACCTTCTGTTCTAGTCTCACCACGTTCTGGATTGGAGTCTCCATCTGCTAAATTTGAGCGGTCACCACCTGAATTTGATTTCCCATCTGAATTGGATTCCGATTCTTCCTTTTTTAAATCTCCATCACTTTTGGTGCTTTCCTTTACAAATTTTTCTTGCTGTGCTTCCTCAACAGTAGTCGCCAAACTTTTTTCAGGTAAATTTTGACTGTCCTCAACACCTAAATTGCCCTTATCCCGATTATTGTCTAGGCTACTGTCATCTTTCAATGCATTCTCTGGTAAATCACCGGTACTGTCTTCAAATTGATTATGATCAGTCTCTACTTTTTCTTTTAACTTGGTCTTAGTCTCCGGGAAAGAGAACCCTAAATTCTGAACAGGAACAATGGATGATGACATCAGCATCCAAACTCCAACCAAACAAACACCCACAAGCACAACGGCAGTAATACCCGAACAGTAACTCAATGATTTCCTCCCATCCACCCTGGAATATCTTCCTAAAGCCATATTTTGAGGCACACAAGCTCAATATTTTGTGCCTGGCCAAAAAAAAAAAAAATTACAAAGAATGAGAAAAAAATGAAATGGCAAAACCAAATTTCCTGCAATGCAATGGAGCAGAGCACAACAGATGTATTCATTTTAATACCAAAAATCAGTACATACTGCTATAAGAAATAAAGTTCCTAATATCAGTTTGATTAAGATAGGCAGCCAGCCCAATCAATGGATCAGAACTGTTGAAAATTTTATTTGCGAACACACATTTTGCGAGAAAGTTATCTTTTGACATATTTTTTTCCTACACAATGCATATGTAAACGCATAGACGTATATGTATTTGATCATTAATGGATCTAGATTTCTATAGCAATTGTATTCTTATGTGACATATACCCCAAAAAACAAAAGATAAATTGATTATGTCATAATAGGATTACCAACTATCCACCATGGAACAATCTTGGTTACCCAGAAAACAAAACAAAACAAAACAAAAAAATTAATGATGAATTTGCACATGTTCTATGTAAGAACATATGTGCACATACTATATAATGTTGGTTTCTCAAAAATTACAAATAATTAGCTATGAAGACATATTCATAGAATACATATACACACATATGTATCTTCAAGAAATCAAACAAAGCCAGATTGATGGAAAATGTTGAGGAAAACATTTATCCAAGCACAGACAACCCGCCAGTTTTATACTTATTCAGAAATTTATATTTTCAAACAATTGTTTCAATTTCAGCTATATAAAGATGTAGAGAAAAATTCACGTTGCCCCCTCTCAAACTATCATACTTGTCACTTTACCCTTGAACAATTTGAACAATTACCCCCTTAAACAATTGACATTAGTTCACATTATCCCAAACCGTTACATGAAGTTAACATGTTTTATGAAATATCCCACTTGTTGGCTCAGCACACACAATCAATTGAGAGTGTTTATTAGCTTCGGCTCCTAGTAAGGATACAAATTTCCTGATACCATGCAACAAAACACAACCTATTGTTTAGAAAATATTCAATAAACACAAAATATAACTAATTAAAGAAAATCATCTGTACAAATATTTTTTGTATCAGTAGGTGTGATATTCCCTCGGGGTAAAGTGAACTAAGAGTAAAATGAACTAATGTCAATAATTCAAAAAAGTAATTGTTTAATTGATAGTTTAGCACAAAATATAAGTAATTATAGCAAATTAAGCAAATCATGTTGTTGGCACCACAAAATATTATTATTATTTTATATATTCGCTGGACACGTGGCACTATCTTGTTCACCTGGAAGTTAATAGAAGTTATAAAACGTAAAGAATTTGAGTGACACATGGCATTGTAGGAATGAAGAGGAGAGATGTAGTGAGTTATTGGTGGTTAACTTAGTGGTAGTTACCTAGGTAGTTTTTTCCTACAATTTTTCTATAAATAGCCATTCATGGCTTCATTGTAAGAGAGGACAACATCAAAGACATTTTGGATCAAATTATATCTTTTTCTTTCCTATCTTAGGAGTAGTTTTTAGATAGTTATGAGTAAATTCAATATTTGTAGTTGTTGTAGCAATTTCGTTTCTAGGAGTAGGAGTAGTAGTAAGGTAATTTATTTCCCAAAATCGTAATCATCTTGTACTCATCAAGGAATTACGATTATGTTTTTGTAATTGTTTTGTCTTCAATTCAAATACATACTTTTTCTCTCTCTTTCATTTTTCTGTTTATTTTCTTTACACTTGACAAATTTGGGAGTCCTTGAATCTGTCAAGGCATTAAAACCTCACACAATCGCTTGATATTTGTATAGTGAAATTGTGTTAACGCACTTTCAATCGATGCCTAACAAAAATTTGACGAACACATGTGCACAAATATTTTTTTTGTATCTGTAGGTGTGATATTCCCTAAAAAAATTTACTAACTACAAGTAAAACGCACTAAAGCCAATAATTCAAGGAAGTAATTTTTTAAATTGATAGTTCAGCGTAGAAAGTGACACGAGTGTGATAGTTTGAACAAGAAAAATTAATTTTCCCTATACATTAATATAGAAACTGTAACTAGGATTGCCAACAAGTCTTCCTCCACATTCCAATTGAATTTCCGAATTTCTGAATTTAATGTCACTCTTCAACCAGAAAAGTTTTTCCCAATTCAATTCTCATGCCTAATGTCTACCCAATTTCTTTGCCAAACCCACATTGATGGAACTATATCAAATTAAATAACTTTGCATACAAAGCTATAGCTCAACTTCTTGCTAGTAGATTTCCAAAATCAGGAGAGAGTTAGTTTGCACAATAGCAAAGAATTTCAAGCTAAACCTGTATTTCAACTAATTAAGCATTCAAACATCAATTTTTCAAATATAACACAGATCATAAAACAACACTGAACTTACACCAAACTGAAATCTATAGATCCTGAACAGCTATTACAACAAATTAATAAATAAAATAAAATAACCCAAAAAATGAATTAAAGTCACACTTCAAAAAATGAATTAAGCTCAAAATCAAGTTCGAATGTATCAAATTTGATTCCTTTGGGCCCATTTCCTGGAAAACACTTCAAAACTCATAGTTTAACAAGATTCAAAGCTCAATTTGTAAAATCAAGGCCCAAAGGTGAGGGAATTAAACCCAATTTCAAACCAAATTTCAAGAACATAATCAAAGCATGACATGCATGAGTTAAAACCACTTCAAAGCTTCAATGCTAGCTCCAATGAGCCAATTGTTCCAAAAACAAGATGAAAACATGGACTTAACATAACTATGAGCATGCATGTGACAATTTTCCATGGAATCAACTCGAAATTCAATAATATAGGCATGCATGCATGAATTAAGCTATAATTCAACAATTAAGAGCCATAACTTGGCTCTAGACTTTAACTTGCTCTAAAACCATGCAAGAATCAATTGAATTCACAAACAAGAGGGTAGTTACACTATCTTAGGTCGTATAGTTCAAGAATGGAAGCACAATTTTGAAATCAACCTTCAATTTCTTTAGGTTCTCAAAGCAATCACAAGAAGGAACTCAATTTCTCTCCCTCACTCTCTTAGTCGGCAAGAACAAGGAGTTTGGCTGATGAAAAGTTGTGTTTAAAAGTATAATAAGGCTCATATATGTTCAATGCAGTGGGCCATTAAGTGGCACCAATGTAATTAAGTCTGATTTATGTAATTTAGCTTTATTTCAACTAATTTAATCACACCAAAACACATTTCAGATAAATACATCATTAAATCACATAAATTCTACTGATCATGAAACACTAATCAATTTCTGGTTCGGCTGCCGATAAGGCCTTCAATTTGCAGTTTAAACATAAAAACATAAACAGATAATCAAATAGTCAAACAGATAGATAATGCATTTAAACAGATACAGTCAATTAATCAGTTTCAGATTTCAGTCAGTCAGTTCAGTATTTCAATCAGTTCAATTACCAACCATAATCAGTCTCAGTTTAGCAGTAATCGGTAGTTTATCGGTAAACAGTGGTGAGGGTTGTTACACTAATCAAGAGTCAACAAGAGAAGATTAATAAAACTTACATTAGAAAATGAACAATACAAATAAAAATGAAGATTAATAAATTCTCATTTACCCGAGTCATATTGCTCAAATTCCTCTACATCATCCATCGCCTTTCGAAGAGAAATTGGAAAGTTATTTCGAAGCCAATTTTGAGTACATACAAGAGCTTCAACCATAGAAGGCGAGAGTGAACTACGAAATGGCTCAAGAATACGCCCTCCCGTACTAAAAGCCGACTCCGATGTAGCAGTAGAAATAGGCATGGCCAACACATCCCTTGCAAGTTGTGATAACACCCTATATTTGGTTGCATTCACCTTTCAATAATCCAAAATCTCAAATGTTTGATTCTTTGCAAAATGTTCAACCTCGGATAAATATTGTTCCAATTCCGACTTAGATCCACTAGTGCATCGCCCCTCCAAATAGGAATTAAATTGGGAATCAACTAAAGAATAGGGATCATCATCATCATCATCTTCCACAATATTCACAACTTCACTCACACTTGGAAGTTTCTCATTTAAAGGATAAAGTATGACATAATGGCTATACAAATGACTCAAACAACTCTTAACCTTGTCTACCATCTCTACCACCTTCCTTTTATCTCCAAGAAATAAATTGGAAAAACAAAACTCCAAGTATGTCATTTTTTTGGTAGGATCAAAAACCACCGCACTATACAACAACAAATTGATTTTACTTCCATTCCCCCAATACTTGCTAAACTTTAGCTTCATAGTCTTTGCCATTGTGCTCAAAGTATCATCCTCCTCCAAAATTAATTGGTTAATTTTGCTTTCAATAACAAACATCTCTTTGTAAAAAGCATTGGAAGTAACAAAGATCAACCCCGGAAATTTTTTAGTTGCAACATAAAATAATTTTAGAAACCTCAAAAAAATTATACACTTTTTCCAATCCAACTCATTTGGGCTTCTTCTTATGCCACCATCAACATCCTTGAAATAAGGTTCAAAGTTGGAATCCACAAACTTCAATCGGCTAAAAGCCTTCTCATACTTTTTGGCGGCCTCTAACATCAAATATGTAAAGTTTCACCTAGTTGGTACATCTAGGCATACAAGAGCCTTTGAATCAAGTGTGAGTGTGGCGACACACTTCTTAAAAACATCATGCCTATGAGGAGAAGACCTCACATATCTCACTGCAAGTCTAATGTTGGCAATAGAATCATCCATTTCTTTCAACTCATCACTCACAACGAGATTAAGAATATGTACACAACAACGCATATGAATAAACTCATGTTGCAAAATAGTCCCATTCCAATCTTTGGTTATCGTTTCAAATATTGAATGGTAAGATTATTAGAACTAGCATTATCAACTGTTAAGGTGAATATGCTATCAATGTTCCACTCAATCAAACACGACTCAATTTTTCGACCCAATGTTTCTCTTTTGTGATCCTCAACTTGTTGAAAATTTATGATTCTTTTTTGAAGTTTTCAGTTATCATCAATGAAAGGAGCAG